GCCTTCGTGTGTTTCTTTTTCTTTAGATGGTTTTGGTCACTGCCTCCTACGCAGTGTTATGAACCTCCATCCATAGTTCTTCAGGCACTCTTGTCTATCAGATCTAATCCCTTGAATCTATTCATCACCTTTACTGTATAATCATAAGGGATTTGATTTAGGTCATACTGAGTGGTGTAGTATTTTTCCCTGCTTTCTTCAATTTAAGCTTGAATTTTGCAATAAGGAGCTCATTATCTGAGCCATAGTCAGTTCCGTATCTTGTTTTTACTGACTGTATAGAGCTTCTCCATCTTGGGCTGCAAAGAACATGATCAATTTGATTTTGGTATTGACCATCTGGTAATATCCATGTGTGGAGTCATCTCTTGGGTTGTTGGCAAAGGGTGTTTGCTATGACCAGTGTTCTGCTCTTGACAGAACTCTGTTAGCCTTTTCCCTGCTTCATTTTATACTCCACGCCCAAACTTGCCTGTTATTCTGGGTATCTCTTGACTTCCTACTTTTGCATTCCAGCCCCCTATGATGAAAAGGACATCTTTTTTTGGTCTAAGGTCTTGTAGGTCTTCATCGAACTGTTCAACTTCAGCTTCCTCAGCATTAGTGGTTTGGGGCATAGCCTTGGATTACTATAATGTTGAATGGTTTGCCTTGGAAACGAACCAAGATCATTCTGTCATTTTTGAGATTGCTCAGGTACTGCATTTTGGACTCTTTTGTTGACTATGAAGGCTGCTCCATTTCTTTTAAGAGATTCTTGCCCACTGAGTAGATATAATGGTCATCTGAATTAAATTCGCCCATTCCCGTCCATGTTATTTCACTGATTTATATTATAGAAGTAGAGGAATAAGAATTAGACTGTGCCTGGGTAGGTTCAGAAATGTTTCTGAGAAAGTCTGAAAGTGATTAGGGAAAAGTTATTAACTGATACGATGAACTCGTTAAGATTTAGCCAGATTTGAGAAGCAAATGCACGTCTCAGGCGTTGTGAACTGATAAGCAGAGACATGGATTTGGAACCTATGCCTGCCTGTCCATTATGGAAAATGAGAGCGGAAAATTTAGTAAGAATCTGGTAAGAATTTTATCCTGAGGCTCATTAAGATGGTTGAGATGAGAAAAAAAAAAAGTGGTTGAGATGACTTCAGTTCTCAAACTTTCAAATGATTCTCTTGTCCCCTTCCCCTGGACAGTTACCACAGCAAAATTTCTTGGAAGTGCTATCCATACTCACTATCTCCAATTTCTCTCCTCTCTTTCTTTGTTAAAGCCACTCCAGTCAAGTCTTCATCCCCACCTTCTACTCAAACTGCAAATGTCAAGGGTATCAGCCTCATGGCTTGAAATAATGTTTATATGCTAATAACTTCCCCAATGTGTATCTTCAACAGAGACCTCACTTCCATCACTGGACTTTTATACACAGCTGTATACTTGCTATCACCTCTTAGATGTCTAACAGATGGTTTCAAGTTTAGTATGTCCAAAAGCAAACATTTTGATCTCTGCTGCTGTTGCTAAGTTGCTTCAGTCATGTCCAACCCTGTGTGACCCCAGAGACAGCAGCCCACCAGGCTCCTCTGTTCCTGGGATTCCCCAGGCAAGAATACTGGAGTTGGTTGCCATTTCCTTCTCCAGTGCATGAGAGTGAAAAGTGAAAGTGAAGTCGCTCAGTCGTGTCCGACTCTTCTGTGACTCCATGGACTGTAGCCTACCAGGCTCCACCATCCATGGGATTTTCCAGGCAAGACTACTGGGGTGGGTTGCCATTTCCTTCTCCATTTGATCTCTAGTCTTTCAATAACTTCTCTACCCACAGCCTTCACCACCTCAGCTGATGACAGTTTAAAAATTCCAGGGACTTCCCTGGTGGTGCAGTGGCTAACACTTCACACTCCTAATGCAGGGGGTCTGACTTCAATCCCTGACTGGGGCACTATATCCCACATTCCACAACTAAATATCCTGCATGTCACAACGAAAATCAAAGATCTGTGTGCAGAAATTAAGACCCAGCACAGCCCAATGAATAAATACAAATAAATAAATGTTTTATAAAAATGAAAATTCCAGTTAAGTCGAAAGCCCTGGAAACCTCATCAATTCCTTTAGTTGTCACACTCTACACTTTCAATCAGACAGGAAATCCTAGCTTGAGAAAACATCCAGAATCCTACCTCTTCACTTCCACTGCTTTTGCCTTGATCTGAGCCATCCTTATCTCTCACTGGGTTTACAGAAACAGCCTCCTAACTGATCATCTTGAGCTTACCTCTGCTCCTACGGTCTGTTCTCTACACTGAAGTCAGAGTGGGCCTTTTCTCACAGGAGGTTGCAGAGCATTCCTTTGCTCAGAGTCCTGCAGTGCCACTCCATTTCTCTTAGAATAAAAGCTAAAGTCCTTGCTGCAGCCTACAAGACCCTAGATAACTTGGCCCCCTATTCAGTTCAGTTCAGTTCAGTCACTCAGTCATGTCTGACTCTTTGCAACCCCATGGGCTGCAGCATGCCAGGCTTCCCTGTTTATCACCAACTCCCAAAGTTTGCTCAACCTCATGTCTGTCAAGTCGGTGATGCTATCCAACCATCTCATCCTTTATCTTCCCCTTCTCCTCCTGCCTTCAGTCCTTCCCAGCATCAAGGTCTTTTCTGGTGAGTCAGTTCTTCGCATCAGGTGGCCAAAGTATCGAAGTTTCAGCTTCAGCATCAGTCCTTCCAATGAATATTCAGGATTGATTTCCTTCAGGATTGACTGATTTGTTCTCCTGGCTCCCTACTGGGTTTTTAATCTTATTACTCTCTGTCTGCACAGGCCTTTCTCACTCTTGGGCCCTCTCTGCTTCTTTCCCTCTGCACAAGTGGCTCTTCCCCCAGAAACCTGCGTGGCTCACTGCTGTATTTTCTTGAAGTTTTTGTTCAGTGTTGGTCACCTCCTCACTGAATCCTCTCCTGTTTATTCTTTAAGAATTTTAATCTTCCCTGACCATCTTGGCATCCCTGATTCCCTTTAACCTGCTCTTTTTTTTTCCCCCATAATACTGTCATTTTTAAATAGAGCATAGAAATTTAAAATTATATTTACTCTTTGTTATCTGTCCTCCTCCTGTACCAGTTACTGCAGTAGAAAATAAACTTCACAAAGGCAGGGATCTTTGTTTTGTTACTTTTATATCCCAGGCACCTGGAATAGGGGATGGAACATAGTTAATGTCCAATAAATGATTCTTAAAATCTTATCAAAGTATGTGTGTATATATATGTGTATGTGCATTATATATATATAACAATGCCAAGAACAATGTTCTATATATATAGAACAATGCCAACTCAGTTCAGTCATATTCAACTCTTTGCAACCCCATGGACCATAGCCCACCAGGCTCCTCTGTCCATGGGATTTTCCAGGCAAGAATACTGCAGTGGGTTGCCATGCCCTTCTCCTATATATACATATGTGAAATTTTAATAACTTTTCATGAACTGAGCAGAGATGTAACCAAAAACAGAACCTTAACTAGCACAGAAGCTGCCAAGGGCTCTTTTAGTCACTGTTCTCCCCCAAGCCTAACTACTATCCTGATTGCTAATAATATATATTAGTTTTACTTGTTTTGTACTTTATTCAAATGGAATTGTACAGTAAGGGTTCTTTTATATCTGCTTTTAATCAACATTGTATTAATGAAATTAATCTACATTGTTGCATGTAGTAGTTTGTTCATTCTTATTGTTATATAATAATAGTCCGTTGTATGAATATAACCCAGTTTATCCTGAATGAACAAATTTAAGCCCCAGATCCTTTCTGTCCTTTGTGTCACCAGAGTTGTTGGGAAGAATTAATATACAGAAAGCATCTACCCAGTATATAGTAGGTGCTCAATTAAGGTTAGCTATTAATTTTGTTATATTCAGATATTTTATTGAACCCTCATTGATCTCTTCCTCGTCTGAAGTCCTATACAGTTACTATAGCACCCTTAAGATGCCAACCTGGCTTTACCACTGCAAAGGGCCAATACTTGTGACCTTATGGACCTGGTTTCTCCTCGGGACATGAAACAAGCTGGGCCAATTTGATTTTTGCTTTCCAGGGAGTAGGCAAATCTGAAACAGTGACCAGCAACTGAGAGTTGCTGGAGTTAACCCGACTGGACCCTTTGGGGAAAATTTCAGGCCTTTGGTGAGGTTTTTGGGAACCTCACCAAAGGCCTGGGAACTCTCAGCCTTCTGCCTTCCCTGAAGTTGGCTATTTAATCCTATCTGCCATCCAGGGATCCTGTATTCCTGGAATCTGCCCTCAATACCCTCCTAGTACAAGCCTCTTTTCCTTTTATTAGGCTCAGTTTTTGTAGCTTGCCTCCAAAAGGACCTCAAAACTCATTTTTGCTTAAATTATTAGCCATTATAGTGTTGTGAATCCTTAATTGAATAACACCAGTTCTTTCATCTATCCATCCACCCATTCAAGTTTTAAACATTATTGAGGGCTTATGATTTGTCAGGCACTGCAGGGTAGATCCTCTTATTCTCATTTTCAAATGAAAGACTGAGAGAGGCTGAAGGATTTTGGGGGTCCAAAGCTTATAGTAATAGAGGATGTTGGTTCAAGGTATCTTTGCTGTTCATCATGAGCTTGAGTGATCTTTTTTTTTTTTTTGTCTATACATGTCTTTTCATCCCACTTAAATTCCTTGAGGTCAGGCTATCTTATACATCCCCCCTGGTGGACAAAATCATCTGCTGTGTGGTAAACATACTACAGAATTGTTGATGGACTGCTCATATGGGCAAATCTCTGCTACCCTTCTCTCAAAGATGCTTCACCCCCTTCCCAAACCCAGGGGAAAAAAATTAAACAATGACCAAGCTGAATTCATCTGAAGGAGGATAATTTATTTAAGTTAGTTTGGCTCTGGTTTACAATTTTGTCTTCTTTTTCTATGTTGGAGTCATTAGAAGCCCCTTCAATCCCACCACATCTCCCTCACCACAAATCAGGGCAACTCAGAGATAGCTTTCTTGGCTGGGAGACCCGTTGGCTTCTCCTGTTCTTTTGCTTTCTCTTCATACATCAGGATCCTGGTTGAGATGAGAAGAGACACGGGGATCAGAGGACAGTCTTCTCCAAAAGAATAAATTTTAATGAACTGTGAAAGTCCAGAAAAGGATGGGGATTGTGAGGGTAGGAAGAGAAGGAGAAAGGGCAAGAGTGAGAGTCCTGTGGGGACCAGAATCATGGATGAGAATAGCATCTGGGAAGGGTCTCTCAAAAGATAGAAGAGAAATTCATGCTGGATTATGTGTAGAAGGTGAGCCTGGGGATGGAGGCAGGAGGAAGAGAAAACAGTTAAGTATAGGAGAGGCTGGAACTGGACTCTCACATTTTTAGAATGGCAGATCTCTTGCCCAACATCATCTTGAGAAAGTCAGAGTAGCTGAAAGTCTCCCCAGAGCCACTGGATACCTCCATGATTAATTTCTTTAGCTCCAGGTGGGTCTTGGGGACCCCAAGTTTCTCCATCATTCGCTTCAGGGACATGATATCTGGAGGCGCAGAGGATGGGGGTGAGAAGAGGGAAGCCTCTTTCTCTCTCTCTTACCTCCCACCTCCTCATTACCATTCCCCATCCTACTCTGGTGGAGAAGGAAATGGCAGCCCACTCCAGTATTCTTGCCTGAAGAATTCCATGGACAGTGGAGCCTGGCAGGCTGCAGTCCATGGGATCACAAAGAGTTGGACACAACTTAGCAATTAACACACACACACACACACACACACACACACATATCCTACTCTGGTCACTGTCGTCTCTCCCAAACCACTGGAAATGGAGCACTGTAGCAAAGACCTCCCTCTTCCTAGATCTGCACACTTCCCCCAAATCACCCTTTTCTCACCGATACCTCCGTCTTCATTCAAGTCAAACTCCATGTATTTCTCTGGACAAGGGGAGAAAGCAGAGAGGGTCAGCACTGGCTGGAGGGTCACAGGCAGAGGCAGGGCAGGGACGGAGAAGGGGGTTGCAGATGGGAGAAGAGGAGGAGGAGGTGGGGCAGGTAGAGGAAGTAGGGTTCGGGGAGCTGAGGGGCCCTGTTACGGTGCAGGGAACTAGAGAGGGTCCTGAGAGGGTAGGCCAGGGAAGGGACTGTTACTAGGGCGGCAACAGAGGCAACCTTCCTTTTTCCCACCTCAAAAGTAGGCTTTGTGTGCTTCCCTGGTGGCTGTGGTAAAGAAACGGCCTGCCGAACGCAGGAGACACAGGTTTACTCCCTGGCCCAGGAAGATCCCATATATGCCACAAAGCAACTAAGCCCGACCGCCACAACCACTGAGACTGTTCTGTAGAGCCCAGGGAACCGCAACTACTGAAGCCCTCTTGCCCTCAAAATAAGAAGTCCATGCAGCACAACCAGAGAGAAGCCCCTGCTCCCCGAAACTGGAGAAAAGCCTCCTGAGCAATGAAGACCCAGCTCCGCCAAAATAAATAAAAATAAATAATAAATAAATAAAACTATTTTTAAAAAACAGACTTTGTTTCTTCTGTCCTCTCTCTTCCTGGAGAAATCCTACCCTCCTCACCCCCTTCTCCACCCCTACAGCCGTCCCCTCACTCTTAAAGGCTTCCAGTTTGGAGGGCAGGTCCTCATCACTGCTGTATTTGGGATCATCCAGGAATTGCTGTGGGGGAAAAGCAAGAACCTGGGTGGGGCCCCCGCCCCGAACCGACACCACCATCCACCCCACCCACTGCCCTGGCCAAGGCCCTTTCTTTTACCTGGTTGATTTCATTGAGTCTCTCTTCCTGCTGGGCCTTCAGCAGCCCAAAGGCTTTTCCTCCTGAAGGAGCACAAAGGTTAACATAGCCTCACCCCCACCTTCCTCTCCTCACCCCCAAGCTCAGCCTGAAGCCATTACAGTTCTGCTTTCATAGGCCAGCTTCCCAGCCCCCCAGCCCAGTACTGTCCAGCTCCTTTTCCCCATTTTAGAATCCTGCCTATTCCACCTTCCCTACCCTGTAAATCCCTGGTTTGGCTCATAGCTCAGCATGTGCTGGTTGAGATGCTGGAGGAAACAACCCAGACTGGATGCCTCTCTGTCTGCCAGCTCTCCTCTCCCATCAGCTTCCTGGAGGCCTGCCTCCCAAACTTCCCCTTTCCCCTCCTTCCCTCCTCCTCTAAGTCTCAGGCCTCACTTCCTCATCAGCTTCTGCTGACAGTAGCACCCAGGAAAAAGGGGGAGTGGGGTCTAGAAAGGAGAAGAGAAAACAACATTCTTAATTCCTCTAAAGGAGAGCCCAGGGTGTACAGGTAAGAAATGTTCTGATAAACCATGGGGGAAGGTCTGTAAGACCCCAGGGGCATTGATTCTCAGGAAGAGAGGATCTCTAAACAGGTCTGGAGTGTCAGGTGGCTGAGGCCCAGGTTTCACAAGTCTGGACACGCAGGTTTAGATAGGAAGCTGAGGAAAGGCGGACTAAATTTTTCTGTACTCTGGACCGGAGAAGAACCTGAAGTCACTGGCAGATCTGGGAGGGTGGCAAGATGGGTGCAGGGTCTGGAAAGGGAGAGACACACTTCCGGCCTGGTGGCTCCACAGAGGCACTTGGAAATACGGAAGTGTCTGACAAGGGAGTCTTAGTTTGTTTGCTTGCTTTAGGGCATGCAATGTAATCCCTTCATCTTATCTCCTTTGAAATTTTCAGTGAAGTCTACAGATCTCTGGAATTTGAGAATTTAAGTAGATTCTTTGGTGGGAGAATTCCCTGATGATTCAGTGGTTAGGACTCCAGCGCTTTCACTGCCATGGGCCCAGGTTCAGTCCCTGGTCGGGGAGCTAAAATCCCACAAGCTGCATGGCACAGCCAAAAAAAAAACAGTGGGTTCTTTGGAGACCTGTGGTGCTGAAAGAGTGTTGGTGGATATAAGAGCCAAGGGTGAGGCTGACATTAGGGGTGTGAGGGATGCTGGTCACTGTGGGTTCGACAGAGTGAGAGTAACTCCCCACTCCTTACTCAACAGAGTGGGCAGTAGCCCCTGATAAATGCCCTCCTAGGCACACTCTTTTGGGCTAGTGGCTCTAGGGGAGACGAGGACTGTACATCCCCCTAACTGAGACACTTCTGTCTAAACTCCCTGCGCAGAGCTCTAGCCACAGTCTTAGCATTGATGGGCACACCTTTCCTTTTCTCTGCCCCCAACCCCCACCCCAACCTATTTCCCCTTCTGCAGAAGGGAGTTTTCACTTATCACTGCCCTTGCCCTGACCCATACGGGTTAGGGAGATGCTGGAGAGTTCTCTGGCCTCTTGAGTTCCCTTTATTGCTGCCTCTTCCTCTGCAGAGAAGACTGCAAACCTGCCCTTCTGAAGGTCTCGTGGGGGAAATCCATTTTTTAAATTCATATGTTCATTCAATAAATGTTTATTGAGCACTTACTATATGCCAGGCGCCTTTCTTGGCCCAATGAGCCAGGTAAATGTAAACTCTGGTTCTCATGGACAATCTAATTAGGAAAGACAGATAAGAAAAACAAGTATATCAAAGATGATAGGTACCTATGGAGAAGAGAAAAGTAGGGAGGGGGATAGGAAGGGCTGCATGGATTGCAGATTTAAATAGGGTGCTCAGGGGGACTTCCCCGGTGGTCCAGTGGCTAAGGCTTCGTGCTCCCAATGCCAGGGGCCCAGGTTTGATCCCTGGTCAGGGAACTAGATCCCACATGCCACATGGTGCAGTGAAGATCGAAGAGCCTGTGTGCTGCAACTAACATCCGGGGTGGCGAAATAAATAAATATTACTTAAGAAAATAAATAAATAAGGTCCTCAGGGAGGCTTCCCTTAAGAAAGTGATATTTGGGCAAAGATTTCAAGCAGGTGAAGGAACAAGCCTCGTGGATATGCAGGAGAGGAGCACTTCAAGCACAGGGAACAAAAACTGCAAAGGTCCTAAAGCGAGGACATGTCTGGAAGTCTTGAGTATTCGTGAAGCAGCAGGCGGCCAGTGGAGCTGGAGCCGGGTGTGTGAGGGGAAACAGAGGCAGGAGATGAGGCCAGATTGCCTACGGCCTTGTGGGCTTGGGAAGAATCTGGCTTTTATTTGGACTGAGATTGCCTCCCCAAGCAGCCTTTCCCTGAAGGTGACTTGGCAGACTACCAAGGTGAGGTAGAGCTGAGATGCTCAGGAAAACTTCCTAGGAAAGAGAAAGTGACAGCTGCTCTGACCATGGGACAAAAGAACAAAGAGTAACAAGATGGGCAAATGAGTGAAACTCAGTGTAAACACAGACATGGGAAAGCCTGTGAAGAGCAGTGATGCAAGAAGACCCCTCCCACCTAAACCCAGGGACCTCCGCCCACTCCACCCCACCCCACCCCCCACAGACCACAGACAGTCTGCAGTCAGAGCTGAAGGGGAGGTGGGGCCTCTGGGCCGAGAGCTGCCAGGGAGCCAGGAATCCACCATGAACCTAGAAATAAGGGAAGTAGGTAATTTTCTGACAGTGAGGCTGCAAACTCTCTCTCAGCAGAGGCAAGCAGTCTCCTTAAAGCAGTGGCTCTCGATGAGTGGTCCTTCCACCAGCATATGTCAGAAATGGATCCATCCCAGACCTACCGAATCAGAAACTCTACAGGTGGCATCCGGCAATAGCTTTTCAACAAATGCCTCAGGTGATTCTGACACACACTCAAGGTTAAGAGCCACAGGCCCTGAAGTGACTGAGTGACTCCCCCAGCCTGCAGGACTCTCCAAAGGTATAAACGTGGCTAAAGTATGCAACATTGGGCAGTGGGGCTGTGGGTCTTGGAGGCAGAAAAAAGGAAGAGTCTCCAAGGCCCAAGTTGTTAGTCTCCAGCCAAGCAGTCAGGGAGAAAATGCTGAGCTGGCTCAGGAAATGGCCCTCTAGAACCCTGTGAGGTTAGCATCCTTTATGAGCCTGGCGCCCTGTTGCTAAGGGGTAGGGGAGCCTTGATATGGTTCCACACTCTGCAGGGGAACTCTTGTTAGAATTAGGGCCCCTGTGTACCTCCACAAAAAATACAGTGGCCAGAAAGCTTGTCTGTGTGTGTGTATGGGGGGTGGCATGGATGTCTTCTGCTTGCCCCCTCCATTTTCCCTCTCCCACTCTGTTCTCTGTCCCAAGAGACTAACCTGTATAGACTATGTCAAGGGCACCTCTGACTTCTAGCTGTTTTGGCCGATGGGGAGCCTGGCAGGAAAAGAGCAGGGCAGGAGAACATTAAGTTAAGGGTATTCATTCCTCTGGCTCCTTTCCTACAAGGTCACCTCGGGCTGGCTGACACCTCCATCTATGGGCAATGTTCCCCTCCAGGCAACCTGCTCTACATGACTCTGTCCTTTTCCACGTTTCAGAAGTCCAGGGAATAAGTCTCAGGAGGTCTGTGAATTTGGAAAAGATAAAAAGTACATCCTCTTCTCATATCCAGCATTACATGTGTCACCTTGTCAAAGACCACTTCACAATTTAAAGCTATTTTTTAAATTAATTAATTGTATTTATTTTGCTGCCCCAGTCTTTTAGTTGCAGCACGTGGGATCTGATTCCCTGACCACGGATCGAACCCGTGCCCCCTGCATTGGGAGCACAGAGTCTCAGCCACTGGACCATCAGGGAAATCTCTAAAGTTCTTACTCAAGCCAGCAACAACGTCTTCTACACTGTATATCTTTATTAAACTCTAACTTCAACTTGCCTGCATTTTAAATCTCTTATCATGTGGTAGTAAGTACATGGTTTATTCTATCCCAATGTTTATTGATATTTTGATAACTGAAACTTAGTGTAATGATCTTACTTTGTTATGTATTTTTTAATTTTATGTACCAGAATGCCAAAGAGATTTGTGGCACAAAATGAGTTAGAACCTCTGCTGTGATCTCTCAGATCTCAGATCTGCTGCTCTGCTCATCCCTTTGGGCCGGGATCGCAATATCCCTTGTGATTCCCTAAACCCCTCTGTGCTGTGTTGTGCATAGTCACTCAGTTGCAGACAGCTCTTTGCGACCCCATGGACTGTAGCCCACCAGGCTCCTCTGTCCATGGGGATTCTCCAGGCAAGAATACTGGAGTGGGTTACCATGCCCTCCTCCAGGGGATCTTCCCAACCCAGGGATCAAACCTGGGTCCCCCTCATCACAGGCAGATTCTTTACCATCTGAGCCACCAGGGAAGCCCCTAAATCCCACTACCCCTGTGTAAATACACTATCTCCTCAAACCCCACTAGACCCCTGTAAATAAACTGTCTCCTCAAATTAATCAAATTTGAGGATGTGATTTCCGGCCGGGACCCTGAATGATGTGTGTGTGTGTGTGTGTGTGTGTGTGAGAGAGAGAGAGAGAGAGAGAAAGAGAGAGTTGGGGGGACTGGGAAGTAACGGGTCTCTGGTCTCGGCAGCCTTATTTCTTATTGTAAATGAACAAAAGGGCATCCTGGTGTTTGCACCAGACAGAGGAATTGGTTAACAAAAGGCTTTCCCTGAGGCCGGAGAACAAGTGAGGATTCTGAATCAACAGGGGACAGCTCCATAGAACCATAACCAACTCACCAAGGTTGCTACTGCCAAAGCCTTCTCTTTTCTAAAAAGCCTCCTTGTGGAGCTTTGAGGGGAATGTGGCAGCAGTTTATTTCTAAATTTCTCTTCTCGGCACCTGTAAAGAGATTGGAAACACACACACATACTACATTTTCAGTGAAGCTAGGAGATACAGAGTGCCTACAAGTTCCAATTTATGCATCTGTGTGATCAAATTCCCCACTGAGCAGGCAGTCCCAGGCATCCTTCCAGAAAACCAGGTGAATAGGGAGGGTCCCAGTGACTGCTTAAAAAAAAACAAACAAATATTCCTTCCTGGGAGGAAAGGCCTAACCCCTGGAGAGAAAAGCTGAGAGCAGTGCTGACTGAGCAGATTAAATACCAGTAAAGGTGGAGACAGAATGCTTTTGTTTTTTAAAAAAATATTTATTTGTCTGTGCTGGGTCTTAATTGAGACACGTGGGATCTTCAGTTTTCGTTGTG